GTGCCTTCTAATGTCAAAATGTTGCTTTTTTAAAGAGTAGTCCAGTCCTTTATCTAGGTAAGACCACAGGCATCATAATAGGTTCTTAAATCAGGGAGGCCAAAGCCACCCCTTCTCTTATCATCAATCAATATAAGTCTCTTTATTCTTGGCTTTTTACCCTGCCAAATGGTTTTTGATAAGTCTTTATTCCAAGTATTAAAACTACTCAAAATTTTGATAGTTGGCAAAGATTGGAAAAGAAATAACATTTTTGGCAAAATATTCATTTTAATCACTAAAATTCAACCTAATAAAGATAATTTCAAGTTTTTCCAATTGTCCAAATCTTTCTTAATTTCTTCCCATTTTGTTCATAATTGTTTTTCATCAATTGAGAATTTTTGGCTGTCAATATTAATCCCAGATATTGCATTTTCTCCATTACTTGGAATTGCATATCTTGAAGCTCTTAGATTCTTGCGAATTTATTATCATTTTAGCTTCTTGAGTATCATATATCGCATTAATAGCGTTTGTAAATTGATATCCGAAATCTAATTCTTTTAAAAAATAATTTAAAAATCCCAATTGAGATTATCAGATGCCTTTTCTGTGTCAAGACTTAGTAAAGCTAATCCTTCTTGATTATTTCTTTCATAATATTCAATTGTATTTAGTATGGTTCTCACATTATCTTTAATTTGCCTGTTAGGAAGGAAACCTGCCTGCTCCTCTTTCACCCATTCTTTCAAAAAGGTATTTAACATTTCAGCTAATATACTAGCAAAAATCTTGTAATCTCAGTTGAGAAGGGAAATAGGTCTGAATTTTTTTACATTTCTCAGATCTTGTTTCTCTGTATGCAACATCGTAATATTAGCTAATTTACATTATTCTGGGAGTTTATATTGATCATTCAGAATTCCATTCATTATCTTTAGAAGATGTGGTGTAACTTCTTCTATCATTATTTTATAATATGAAGCGGATAAGTCATCTGGACCCGGGGCTTTGTTCCCGTCTATTCTCCTTATGGCTCTTTTGACTTCCTCTTCTGTTATTTCCTTATTTATACTCAGCCTTAGTTGGTCTATTATTTTTTGTAACTTCTGCTTATTTAAGAAAGACATGATGTCTTCTTTTTAAACTGGTTTTTGATAATATTTATAGAAATGTTTTATTATTTCTTGATCATTAGTGAAAGCAGGTTTTATCTTATTCAAAAATCTGTACTGGAGTCTGTGCAAGTCTCTGATATGCCCTTCCCTTGTGGTTCCCAATTAGTGCTAAGAGGAACATAAATTAACTAAGAATTCTCTTGGGATATGTTATGTACTGTGTTCTATTTTTAATCCATGCAGCTAATTTGTTATTGTAATTAATTTGAATAGATTTGGGTGTCTGCCTTCCATGTTCAGGACTAGACCTAGACAGATCATTCCAAGTTTTCTATTCCACAAAGAAGGGAGAATACAGCATCATAGCATAAACAAGCAAAATTTTTATTCTTTCTGGATTGTTTCTACATGCCTGTCCTAATAATGTCACTTTATATGTTCAATGAAACAGTCGAAATAGAAAGTCTAAAGCTGGAGAAAATGTTGAATTGCCTCATGGGCTATAATGAATTATGTATTCTAAACAACCATAGTGAGCAAATTAGCAAGATCCATACCTTAGGGAGTGATTCTTATAAGAAAATTAAATAGATGATTTATACGGTTCAGGAGAAACTGGTGCCATTTCTCCTCCTTTTCTGCCACATCAATTATCTTCAAGCAGATTATAATCTTCAAATGTAATATTTCAATCACAGGACTCATTCCACCAGTTCTCCATTAGCCTGTAAAGCACAGTCCAACCATAACTAGCAGTTCCTCTGTCTAAGAAGTGAAGATTTACTGTACTTCTCCCATCTACACCATCTACATAGCCATTTTATTTATTTATTTATTTATTTATACACTTGTATACCGCTAATATCTCAGCCTAAATCGGCGACTCATTGCGGTTTACAACAATTAAAAACAATCATCAATTCAAAACATACAATCAACAAATACAATACAAAATTATTGGGCCACCAATAATAATTCCATGCATCTCGAACTAAAAACACAATCCAAAAATTCGTCGTCCATGGTTACCTGTCCTTTGGTCAACACACTTCGGTTGCAACGGGTTAACCGAAAGCTTGTCTAAACAACCATGTTTTCAATCTCTTCCGAAAGACCATCAGCGAAGAGGCTGATCGTACCTCTATAGGGAGGGTGTTCCAAAGCCGAGGGGCCACCACAGAGAAGGCCCTGTCTCTCGTTCCCGCCAGCCGCACTTCTGAGGCCGGAGGGATAGAGAGCAGGGACTCTCCAGAAGATCTTAGGGTCCTGGTGGGCTGATAGGCTGAGATACGTTCGGATAGATAAGTTGGGCCAGAACCGTTTAGGGCTTTAAAGGCCAACGCCAGCACTTTGAATTGAGCCCGGTAGCATATCGGCAGCCAGTGGAGCTGGTGCAACAGAGGAGTTGTGTGCTCCCTGCGCCCCGCTCCTGTTAGTATCATGGCTGCCGCCCGTTGGACTAATTGGAGCTTCCGGACTGTCTTCAAAGGCAACCCCACGTAGAGAGCGTTGCAGTAGTCAAGGCGGGATGTAACCAGAGCGTGGACTACCGTGGCCAAGTCAGACTTCCCAAGGTACGGTCGCAGTTGGCGCACAAGTTTTAGCTGTGCGAAAGCTCCCCTGGTCACCGCCGAAACCTGGGGTTCCAGGCTCAGCGATGAATCCAGGATCACACCCAAACTGCGAACCTGCGTCTTCAGGGGGAGTGCGACCCCGTCTAACACAGGCTGTAACCCTATACCCTGTTCGGCCTTACGACTGACCAGGAGTACCTCTGTCTTGTCTGGATTCAATTTCAATTTGTTCGCCCCCATCCAGACCGTCACAGCGGCCAAGCACCGGTTCAGGACCTCGACAGCCTCCTTAGTAGCAGGTGGAAAGGAGTGACAGAGTTGAACATCATCTGCGTACAGATGACATCGCACTCCGAAACTCCGGATGATCTCGCCCAGTGGCTTCATGTAGATGTTAAACAACATGGGAGACAGTATTGAACCCTGAGGAACCCCACAAAACAAAGGTTGTGGGGTTGAACAGGAGTCTCCCAGTAACACCTTCTGGGACCGACCCTCGAGGAATGAGCGGAGCCACTGCAGAACAGTACCTCCAAGACCCATCCCCGCGAGGCGTCCCAGAAGGATACCGTGGTCGACGGTATCGAAGGCCGCTGAGAGGTCGAGCAGCACCAACAGGGACACACTCCCCCTGTCGAGCTCCCGACGCAGATCATCCACTAAGGCGACCAAGGCTGTCTCTGTACCATGCCCCGGCCTAAAGCCAGACTGTGCCGGATCTAGATAATCCGTGTCTACCAAGAATGCCTGGAGTGTGAGGCCACCACACGTTCCATGACTTTGCCCAAAAAGGGGAGATTGGAAACAGGCCGATAGTTGACGAATTGAGTGGGGTCCAGTGATGGTTTCTTCAACAGCGGTTTTATCACAGCTTGCTTTAAGCTGGCTGGAATTTTGCCCCCCCGAAGGGAGGCATTAACCACCACCTTCACCCACTCGGCCAATCCCCCTCTGGCCTCCTTCAGAAGCCAGGATGGGCAGGGGTCTAGGATGCATGTGGTAGCTCTCATTCCTCCAAGCACCTTGTCCACATCCTCGGATTGAACCAATTGTACCTTCACTGTTAGCCTCATTGTCCAAAATCATGTTTGAGCCGTTCCATTATTCAGTTTCACATAATTCCGTGCTTGTCTATTACACTAGATTTCAAAGGCTTCTTCAAATAGACACATTTTTACTTTTTTATGGAAGGTCAAGAGAGAGGGGGCTGATCTAATATCCCTAGGGAGGGAGTTCTGCAGCCGAGGGGCCACCACTGAGAAGTTCCTATCTCTCATCCCTGCCAGTCATGCCTGTGAAGAAGACAGGACTGAGAGCAGGGCCTCCCCAGATGATCTTAAGCTCCTATTAGTTCTGAGGGTTTAACTGGTTTCATAAACTAAACTAGTTTGTTTACATTTATTCTTTCATTCAGAGATGGAATAAAGAGGCAAAACAATAAACATGGAATTGAACTTGGGTCACTTTATTCAATTTAATAGATTATGATCTGCAAAGGGAAAAAAGTGTGTGGGAGAACAAAACTTGTGCTTAATTCTGTTTTAATGTTTGTCTGCTCTGGGTTTTAATGTACATATTGTATGTGTTAGTTGCTTTGAGTCTATTTTGGGAGAGGGGAAAGGGGATATAAATACTAATAACATACTCAAGGTCTCCAGGTTGAATACCAGACCATATGGGGAGACCCCCCCCCCCAGAGTTCAGAAAACAATCACAGTCTCTTTCATTCTCAACCACCCCTCAGAAGTAGGAGGCAGTTTAGACCATCTGTCCAGGTCTAGAGGGTGCTTCTCCTGCATAGTGCTACCCTTATCTTGCCCACAGTTCACACAATCCTGAGAGCAGCCTCTGGAATAACCTATCATCCTTAAATGGTTAATGGTTAAATGAAAGTGTGCCAAATTCCTAGAGAACACCAGTACTGCACATTCTGACTTAATTGGGCAATTCATCTATTTAAACATAGAAACTCTAACACCCATCCTGAAAGATCTGTACAGAATAGGTTTTTTTAAAAAAAATCTATGGTGGTAGTGGTAAATTCTGTCTCAGCTTCAAAAGGCAATACCTGATTCTGCTGGTGAAAGAGCCCAAATCCTGGAAAAGTGAGTGTTATGAAGGATAAGGATAACCTCCCAGGTGATGAAGGTATGACCACACTGAGTAACTGTCTCCATTCTGTCTGGCCACAAAGGCTCTTCCCTGCCCTGTCTTGTAGAACAGGTGGAGAAGCAGTAATCTAGCTGTTGCTCCCAGTTGATTAGTTTAGTGACCAGGAGAGGATCCTAAAGATCAGGGAAACTCAGAAAATGCCTCTTTGTTGCAGAACTGTCCATTATGAAGGTGGTGCTGTGTCAATTCATGCCCGTTCTCTTTGGCGGCTAGAGACTCTGAGAGTTGCGTAAGTAAAAAACCAAAAGGAATGACTTGAATAATATATTCAATTATAATAAATAATGTCTCTTCTCTGTAAAATGCAAGCACTGTCTTGACAAAAAAAATTCTATGTCTTTGGGTTCCATTTGAAAATGTAGTTATTTAACCGGGGTCCTGATGTATAATCATGTTTCTTCACATTTCATTTGAAATTTAATGCAAGAGCCAGATATACAATCAGTTTCCAGTTCTTCAGAATACTGCACCAAATACACAGAATACTGCAGTCTTGTGGAAATTATTATTAACTGATAGATTAGTAAATAGCCACAGATACAAACGTTGCCTAATAATACTATTTTTCTTTATGTGAATAGCTTATAATAAGAGTGGCAATAAACTAGATTGACAGACTACTGGGATATTTCCCCTCTTCTTTTGTTGTTTATGAATTCAAATTGACCTTTAAGTTCTAGTGTTCAGGCTTGATTCCCTAGTGTCTCCTTTAGAAGTACATTATCTCCTCCTATAGGAGCTGTTAAACTGAGTTTTGACGAATGACAGGTTACTCTTTGAACTGTCACATCAGCTTGGTTTGAAAGGCAACATCTCTGACTACAGATTTAACAAATGGGATCAGTTGTCTCAATTTTAATTTAATTGTGATATTGAACTGTCTCCATTCACAGAAGTGGTAATAATATGTATCTTCCTTATCCATTATAATTACTTCCTATCCTGAAAACTGCATTGAGATTTGTATAGTTGTTCTTTTCCTTCCTCCACTCTCCTTCGATCATTCCTGGCTATACACACCCACTTGTTCACCTCCCTTTTCAGAAAACTCCTTCTAAACAAACATACAAATCAATCACTGGGAGAAGATTTTTACTGTCAGTGCATTCATGCCTAATTAATTGATATTATGACAGTGAACTTCACTGACTTAAACATAATTCAACATTCTTCAGCTCCCTCTTAGTAGCATCTGAAAGATGTTCTTCTCTAATGAGGAGCCTATGTCTTGCCTTTTAATTCTGAAGTGATGGAGGCAGCTGGATGCATGGAAAAGATCTGGAAAATTTATATTCAAGACATGAATATAAAACAAAATATGTCAATGTACAACTATCACACCCCATTACTAGTTGTTCTGGTTCTAAGTAGTCCAGTTGACCTTATGTAGAGGTCTGAGAATTTGTGATATCCACATGAAGCCCTTGGAAATGCATGATCAAGATCTGGATTGAGAGATCGATCAATTATCTACCTCCAAAATGTGGTCCAGTTATGTTCCCTCTGTTGAAAATAGCATCTGTCCAACCCCATTAAAGACACTTTTCCAAAAAGTTAATCACTCCATAGTTATTCAGTTTTTGTCCTGGAAGAAAAAACGCTAAAGCAATTATAAAAACTTCTACTGCATTAAATTCAATTAGAATTGGCTATTAACCATATTTTAATATTTAATTTTTATTTGTAAGTCTGATATTTCACATTACCTAAGAATGCTGATCTGAATTTTCATTAGGTGGAGTGGAAGTCATATTAGATGGGCACAACCATTCAGATTAAGGCATATAACTACAGGGAAATATTTAAGCCTCATGGATGACAAGAGTCTTCTTCTAACAGAGAAAGAGAAAGCTGATGTGAAATCTACGGCATTTTGTTTTCGGTCCTCCAAGGTAAACAGTCAAACGAATCCTATTTTATTTCCTTTCAAAAAGTGAATGTTCTGTTTCTGGAATAAGAATTCTAATTTTATCCTTTTTGTTTTTAAAATAATATTGTCCAGAGCGTGTTGGTGTTGTTGCAATAATGTTGAATCACATAATTGAATTAAATTTCTGTAGACTAAAAGCAATATTAGGCTGGAGTATGTGAATGAATGTATTTTATTATTACAGACACAGATCAGGAATGTAAAACTTTAAAACTGTCAGCTTGACAAAAACATTTAAACATTAATGCTGATGGCAATACATTGAATCTGGCCAGGGTGAAGAATCTTCTAAATTTGGAAATGTCCATCTTTGATAATAAAAAAAAACTTACTGGAGTGGGCAACATCATGCTGTTTTTAAAGTTTCCTCCAGATGCTCTTGCAACTCCATATCTACTTCCAAAATATGCTCCAGTTCTGTTCCCTCTGTTGAAAATAGCATGTGGTGTTATCTGTCCAGCAACATATCCCAGATATGGTGCTTAATGGTGGATTTGATGTTGCAGTATGTGTTCATAGTGAAATAAGTGATCACACAACTTTAAACCATTGTGAGCAAAGTGCGACCAAAGCAGGCTGTATTTTTTAGCTTCTTTGGCCCATATGTTGTCACTCTTTATAACAAATAGCAAGGCACTGTTGCCTCAAGGGGGAAAGAAGTGTAGATTGGAAATAGGGTGAGTTAGTTGTAGTGACTTGAGCTTTGGATCATGATTCCAAGACCAGTTTTTGGTCATAGAAACGACCAGGTAACAGTGGGCAAGTCATACTCTCTTAGCCTCAATGAAAGGCAAAGGCCACTCCCTCTGGACAAATCTTGCCAAGAAAACCCTGTGAAAAGTTGACCTTAGGGTGTGCATAAATCAGAAATAAAGACACACAACAACTAACAACAAGGAGGCAGATATTAATAAATGTATCAGCAATTGCATGATAGGAAGTCTTTCCTCTAAAGCTGCTTAGTAAACAGTCATACTTGGGTAAATTTAGTTCTATCTTAATCTCCAGCAACTGTTTACTTTTAATATTTTTTTTGTGTGAAATGAACAGTGAACAACAAAAAGAAAAGGTTCTGTAGAATCCACTTTCATATCAGGGTATTTTAGCAGAGAGTTGGATTCAGTTTTTTTGCTCACATTTGTGTAAAATCACCTGAGGCATTCAATCCTTATCCCTGCTTGTCAGAGATAGCATTTCAGCAATATAAAATTTCGATTAAATATATTTTCAATTTTTTTTTCAATATTAGCTTGTCATAAGTAACATTCTGGTCAGATAAAATCTTCTCCTCCTCACAGCAAAGTAAATACTTTATTCTCCCAAATCTAATTTTACAGGAGTAAAGTGTATAATTTAGAGCAGCGATTCTGGAAATAAATTGTATTGAAGTCATTGTGACTTTAGTAAAGGTAAAGGTTCCCCTTGACATTAAGTCTAGTTGAGTCTGACTCTGAGGGGTGGTGTTCATCTCCATTTCTAAGCCAAAGAGCCACCTAGGTCATGTGGCTAGCATAACAGAAGCTGGGGTTAACAGCGGGAGTTCACTCCATCCCGCAGATTTTAACCGCTGACCTTACATATTATTGATTGTAATGAGCTATGCCTACATACCATTTTGTATTAAGAAAATGAAATCTCTCACTTTTCTATGTAGTTTTGTGAATATTATCTTATCTTCTTTTCTTAAAGGAAAAATTGGATATAGGAATAAGGAAAGAGGTGGATGGCATGGGAGCACCTGAGATAAAGTATGGAGATTCAGTCTGCTTTATACAGCATGTCGACACGGGTTTGTGGCTTACGTACCAGTCAGTAGACGCAAAGTCTGTAAGAATGGGATCTGTGCAACGCAAAGTAAGATATTTTATACAAAAGTGTTAAATATAAAATTGGCATGATAAGTATGAAAGAAAAATACCAGTATTACGTCTTATGATTTCAGTATTTCCTAGTACTAAGTGTGAAAGTATTTTCTTGTTATTAACAAAATGGAAGTAGGCACTGAATGCTTGGAGCAGGGCTAAAAGGGACTGAATACTTATTAGTACCAGGGCTGTATTACTCTTACTAAGCTTTAACCAAAAAGTTGTTTGAAGGCTGAATTAACAGTGTGTGTGATGTCAGAGTGTGAATAGAAAGATGAAAGATGCAAATCTATGACAAAATATAGTTAAACAAGTTATAAAATGTGACCAAACATTATATGAACATATTACATGATTGTGACAAAAGAAATGGGACATCAGAGATAGTGATAACAATTAGATTATTACACTAAGCTTCCATGTAAGCAGAGCGATGCTTTAGATTTTTTAGCAGTGATATTTCCCATATTGGGAGTGAATGAATTGTTTATTGTACCAGCCATAGGCCATGACATTAAATAATATACAACATTTAAAAGTACAATATAAATATTAAAATTTATTCCATATACTGGCTCTTTAAATGGTCTTTTTAATTTATGATGATGCTTTAATTAATGTTTAACTGTGTTTTTATTATTGTTGTTGGCATCTAATGATTGCTGGTTGTAAGCCACCCTGAGTCCCCCTCCGGGGGTGAGAAGGATGGGATATAAATGTTTGAAATAAATAAATAAATAAAATAGTAGCAGTGACATGATAATAATAACATATGTCTGATTTGTATCACCCCAAACTATCTCCATTTCTATTTCTAGCCTCCGTTCTGGACTTTACTAGTTTAGATCAGTTTTTTTTTGGGCTGTGACTGCAAATGTGGCAACCTTTAATGTTGTATTTTTGGAACAATCTGCTAACAAGTCACAGATAACTCCATATATGGAGTGAGAAATACCAGATGTCCAATTTGGATTCAGAAAAGGAGGATGCATTAGAAATGAATTACACCCAACTAGAAAATTAACTTGTGCTTTGTACTATGTAGGAAAGTCTTTCACTGCATAAATCATGAATTACTCTAGAAGAAATGAATGTAACAAACATTTGCTTCTCCCAGTGTATTCTTAATACTCTGGACAGAAGGGCATCATGAGAACAGCATATGGAGGGGCATAATGCTTACTATTAAATGAGATAATCAGACAAAGCAATTTGTTTTATATTCAGAACATATGTGCAAACTTATTTGTTTTATATGCAGAACATGTAGTATGAAAATTGAGCTTATATATAGAGGAAGGAAGTTTGAAAACTGAAGGAAGAAACATCAATAATTTAAGATATACAGATAACACTATATTACTAGCAGACACTATCAAAGACATGGAACAGAGAGAGGTCAACCCTCCTGTTCAAGGAGCTCTACTGGCTGACGTTTATTTTCCGAGCCCAATTTAAGGTGCAGGTGCTTACCTACAAAGCCGTAAACGGTTTGGGACCATCCTACCTGCGTGACCGTATCTCCGTTTATGAATCCACGTGCTCACTTCGTTCATCCGGAGAGGCCCTGCTTGTGATTCCGCCTGCATCGCAGGAGCATCTGGTGGGGATGCAAGACAGGGCCTTTTCTGTGGTGGCCCCCCGACTCTGGAACACCCTCCCCAAAGATCTTAGACAGGCCCCTACGTTGGCAGTCTTTAGAAAGAATTTTAAGACCTGGCTGTTCCGATGTGCCTTTCCAGAATAGGAAAACTCCAACAACAAGTCCCAGAAGCACTTTATTAGAAATTAAGATGGCTGGCACACTGCACTTACCCTATAATCCTTACATATCTCCTGTCACATCAGCACTTTTGATCTGTACCCATTACTCTGGCCCGGCCCAGTTTTATTGTGTCCTGGTGTATTGTTTATTGCTTGTTGTTTAACATTGCTTTAATTGTTTTTAATTTGCTTTAGGTTGTGTATTGTTATGTTGTGTTTTGAGGCCTTGGCCTTTGTAAGCCACATCGAGTCCTTCGGGAGATGATAAAGGGGTACAAATAAAGTTAATAATAATAATAATAATAATAATAATAATAATAATAATAATAACAACAGCTACTAAGTTAAGGAAAATAGGGCAAAGCAATATAGGAGTTGGGGATTAAGGAAAAATATTAATATTAAAAAGCACAGTTGCTTTAAATATCATTAAAGTAGATGGTGGATACTAGCATGGTTACAGATTTCCTATACTTCTGCTTACTTGTGAGTTAAAATGGAGACCAGAGGCAAGAAGTCAAAAGAAGACTAAAGACCTGTCTACAGTATCAAACAAACAAACCCAGACTCATCTCAAATGGAATGTAGACTGTCTTCATGACATTTACTTCCATTCAATATCTCAGTGTTTTTGGTTTAAACTGACCTACCTTGGCTCACTTTTGACAAAAATCAGGAAATACTCCATTTACTGGAAACTCTGGAGTATCCCACAATCTGGACAGCTAGTTTAATTCCACTTTGGCCTGATCTGCTGTCCAGAGTGGACAGTGGCATCATTACCCTTTGACTGGACCATGCAGGGAAAGGAAGCCAGCCATAGAACTCTGTGTGGAACTCTGTGCCTCTGCCATAGGCAGAACAGAATGTCAACACAACAAAACAAAAAGAGGGCAAAACCCCTCATCTTTATGCTAGTAGTGTGGGCAGTCCATTGTGATGTCAACAGTCATACTTGCAATGGCCAGGAACTCACATGAAACAGTGGCTGACCAGGTTTGGTGATGGCAATGACATGGAGGAGGTGGGATGGATGCCACCTTAGCAGAGTGTATGGGCTCCCTGGCCAAGTGATCAAATGGATTTGGCATGAATGTGCTGGATCTGGGGCTTCTCCGTGAAATATTTACAACAGATGAACCCTAAAATCTGGGGGTGCAGCTATGAATGAACTAGAAAAGATCTTAAATTGATTACAAAAGTCAGGACTGTCTGTGTCTTTGTGTTTCTGAGTTCTAATATGGCTCTCAAAATTGGACAAACTGACATGCAGAATTTCAATGTAATTGAAATGTGGTATAGAAGGAGAATTGTAGGAATGTTATGTATTGCAAAAACCCAAACACTAACAAATTCTAAAACTATGGAGCCTGAACTTTCCCTAGAATCCAAAAGGACTTAAATGAAGCTATCATACTTCAAATATATCATGATGCAACTTGACTTAATGGAATAGACAATAATGCTATGTAAAGTTGAAAGAAGTAGTAAAAGCCACAACACAGGAGGGATTGACTCAGTCACACAGGTCACATCCCTGAGTTTTCAAGGACTGAGGAAGACTGATGATAAAGGAGATTCAGTGAAAGAAAACATGTGGGTAGTTGTGGGTTAGTTATGTGATCCACACGGAGTGGTGTCGGAAGTCATGGGGGCTGGGTTCACGGGTGTGGGGTTAGAGGGACAATAAATGTTAATGTATTATAACTGTACAGTCAAAGTTGATTTTTCATATGTTTAACGAGTGCTGACTGTATACTATTCTGTAAACTTGCACACTCTTTTGTATATCCTTTTTTCTGTTTTTTTTCTGTTTGTTTGTTTGTTTTTTATTTATTTCTCTTTTCCTCTGGTGTCGGTTTTGTTTTCTGTATGCACCGTAAACCAATAAAAATTAATTTTTTAAAAAAGGAAGACTGATGATAACAGAGAGATTTGAAGGTAGCCCGTACATACGATTGTCATAAACAGATTTTACCGCATAGGACAAAGCAAATGTGAGATCTCATTTTTAGGACTATTTTTTCTAATCTGAGAATTTCCAGAGATGATGAAGTTCCATTAGTGACAAACAGCAATTGTATAATTGTCATTATCCAGTTGGAAAAAAGTCCTGATTAAGGCCTTTTTTGAGAAGTAAGCCTCAAACATCTCTGTGTGGTTATTGCATGGGCCCATACAATTCTCTAGAAATCTTAACTATATTCTTTGGAAGATATTATTCCATGCAATGAATTAGTAAACATTATTCAGTTAATAAAATTTCAGTTGTTTATTACTATGGAACCAGATTAATATGTTTAATAAAAATATATTCATCTTCAAACATCATGACCCAAGCTGTGAGAATTTTACATTCCCCTGACTGGAGGATTTGCATCATAATAACTATATAGATATCAGACAAGCCAGACCAGAAGTTTTAGAGAGGGAAGGAAGGAATCATTTTGCAGCATTTTGTAACAAAAGTATATAAAAATAAAAATATAAAGAATACTTTTACAGCAGTACATTTATTATTTAGAATTCTTGCCATATCTTGTAAGGGTTGCCTTGGGCAGATTTTGTCCAATGTTTTATTCTGCAATAATGTGGCAAGGCTTCTTTTTACTCATGTCATGAAAAACCTAAGGGAAAAAACCTCTACTTATAAATCTCTTCAGCCAAGCCTCTGCTGGATCATTGTAGTTGTCTATTTTCCTTGTTATTCTGTCCTCACTATTTTTGTCACGTTCTTTGCTGTGAACTCTTTATCCATCAACTTCTTCTTTTTCAACTTTGTCACTTCTGTGTTCTTAGTATCTCCTATAATATTCATAACCTCATTTTTAGCATTAGAATACCAACAAAATTATATGATAGGTAAAAAATAAAAGTCTGATTTGATGCAACATGATATAAACCCCTTCTATGCTGCTATATAATCCAGATTATCAAAGCAGATAATCCACATTATCTGCTTTGAACTGGATTATATAAGTTTACACTGCCATATAATCCAGTTCAAATCAGATAATCTAAATTTTATATTGCAGATTAGAAGGAGCCAGACATTCTAGAAAACTGTGTGCTGTTAATATTTTGATATGTCAAGCAGTAAATGCTTGATAATGCTGAATTTTGAAAGTACTGTGTACAGCAATGTTTCTCAACCTGGGGGTTGGGACCCCAGGAGGGGGGACTTGTGAGGGGGTTTCAGAGGGGTCACCAAAGACCATCAGAAAACATATATTTCTGATGGTCTTAGGAACCCCTTTGGGCCTAGGGGGCCCAAAGAAGCGAATTGGGCTGTGCGGCCAAACACCTCAGTAGTTCCAGGACTATTCGGAGGCAAGTCCCCCAAGGCCCATACTCCATTAGACCCGGGTCTTTCAGGAAGACGAGGGTTTAATGGAATATCCAGTTAATTCAGGACAAAGCAAGGTTTTCCTGCTTTGTCTTGAATTAATTTGGTTTTACTGGAGATGACCTTTGGATGCCTCTGGTACAACCGTGGGAACTCCTGCATTATGGGCCCTTGCTCTGATAGTAGTAGTGGCTCTCCTTGGAGAGCTTGAAAATTCATAGTGTAATGTTCCGGTTCAACTACTGGTTGTGATCAAACCCATCAGCTAAATGACTGGACTAGGGTTTTTTTTTTTTTGTATAGAGTACCTGCCATCAAAAAAACCCATTCTACATCAGTGGTGTATATATCAGTTTTGCTATCAAATGAAATCTTGGTAAGGCCTAGGATTTTGGCCCGTTCCAGTTGAGAATGTCGAACATACTGCTATTATGTAGAGTTGAAGATGCCATCTTGTTATGTTTGTTGGAGAAAATATAATTGCCAGTCTGATTAGCTTATCCATGCATATTATATAGAAGGTACTATATAGTCTTTGTTGCAGAGTATAAAATGTTTGGCATAGTCATTGTCCATTTTTAATTAGGCACGTATTTTCACTGAGTTATGAGCTTTGTATTGATTTAACAGTCAAATAAAACATTACGTTGATTTTCTTTTGTACGAAAAACAAAGAATACCTGATTAAAAATTACAGCAATTAAATGTAAATAATCCCTTAATGCTAAAGCTACCTAGAAGTGCAGTGTGTTTGTGTCTGTTTCTGTTCATGTGTTATGGCTTATTTCTCTCTAATAAATATTTCATTTTAACTTTGTTATATGCTATTGTGGGAGACTAGCATCATCTGACATTTAATAGAATGTGGACCATTTGAATTCCTTGTTGTTGCAGATTTTAATTTAGGGAGTGGTGAATGCCACTGTCTCTTAGCCTCCTTTATCTCTCTCACCCAGGTGAAGTGGGGAGGAAAATATTCAGGTAACTTAATAGTGTGTGTTAAATTCTTTCAGGTGTTCAAAAAGTGGTATACAAAACTAAATATTACAGAGTTATTGTAATTCCTATTTTTTGTCATTTCATTACAGGCTATCATGCACCATGAAGGCCATATGGATGATGGCCTAACTTTGTCCAGATCGCAGCATGAAGAATCACGTACTGCACGAGTAATTCGTAGTACAGTCTTCCTTTTCAATCGGTTCATAAGGTACAAGAGTTCATAACCTATAACTAAACATAAATATGTATGATGGCAATACGTGGTCAATCTTCCTGTATTGATCCCTCAAGTCATAGAATCATAGAATATAGAGTTGGAAGAGACCTTGTGGGACATCCAGTACAACCCCCTGCCAAGAAGCAGAAAAATTGCATTCAAATCACTCCCGACAGATGGCCATCCAGCCTCTGTTTAAAAGCCTCCACATAAGGACTGTCCACCACACTCGGGGGCAGAGAGTTCCACTGCTGAACAGCTCTCACAGTCAGGAAGTTCTTCCTCATGTTCAGGTGGAAGCTCCTTTCCTGTAGTTTGAAGCCATTGTTCATTTCTTGTTCTGTGTAGCTTCGTTTGTTAATTTTTAAATTGTAAAATCTACATGCCTGACATTGCTACACCAAGGATAATGATCAACCTAAAGCTCTCCTAAGCACCATGTACACATACACTATTTAAATCAGACACGGGCAACTTGATTCAGCCTAATTTTCAAAGCTCTCTGTAAGAGTGGGGGCTGCAAGAGTGTTTTGCTTTTTTCCTAACACTCTAATTTGTGTGTGGGGGGAGGAAAAGAGGAAACAGATGAATTCCCCTAGTTTTGGGTCTAACCTTACCTAACTCTTTCTTCACCCATCACTGTAAACATATGCCTCCCTGCCCTCCCGAGAGGTGAGTAATCCAGGACAATTTAGGGCCTGAGAACAAAAATAAATTGTTGACAATCAACAGTATGTCTTAGACCACTCTTTAATTGATTTTAGGGGCCTTGATGCTCTCAGCAAGAAAGCAAAGTCTTCCACTGTTGACTTACCTATTGAGTCAGTCAGCCTTAGCCTCCAGGACTTGATTGGTTACTTCCATCCACCTGATGAGCATTTAGAGCATGAAGACAAGCAGAACCGACTAAGAGCACTGAAGAATCGGCAGAATCTCTTCCAGGAAGAGGTAACAATATTGGTTTTGCCCTTGATATTTCACATTTAGGACTGGCTAAACAATTCTTCAAATTTGCACAAGGTTAAATAAGATATGGATTTAGCTGTCATTTAAACAAAATGTTACTTCTGCCTCAGATGAGTACCTTTTCCCTTGTAGGGTATGATCAACTTGGTGCTTGAATGTATTGATCGCTTGCATGTCTACAGCAGTGCAGCACATTTTGCTGATGTAGCAGGGAAGGAGGCAGGAGAGACTTGGAAATCTATTCTAAACTCATTATATGAATTGTTAGGTAAGTGATGCACTTTCATAAGAGTGAAAATTTGCACCCAGACATTCACACACATGTGCTTCAAAATCAAAATGCTGATTCTTTTTGTCTAGTCTTTTATATGAAATTTTATTTTTAAATAACTATGTTTGCATTAAACAATAGTGGTTTGTTAGAGTGAAAAGTATGTTCAAAAGAATATATGATAATGAAAAATGGCAGACTTGGAATAGCAATATTTTTTCTTAAAGAATTACTTAATACTCTTTTAAGGAGAATATTTTGTAAATTCACAAGAAATAGACAAGAAGTTTGATCGAATTCAACTTTGTTTGCATGTATAGCACAATTCATTCAAAATTTGAATAAGGAAAATACTCTTAATTCATTTAGATCTGAAATTAGGAATATAGCTCATAGAGAACTGATATCTATACATATAGCTAATTATTGAATGAATGTAATTCAGAAGAGTTGTTGTTGACGTATACTATTATTTCAAAATACTCCTTTCGTTATAAAACTGATGAATGCAAACTTTCCTGTTCCCCTACAGTCTCTCTGTATCTTGTCAACAATGTGCATGAAGCTCAGCTTGCTATGTGTTATCTGTAGATTAGGATAACTGATTCTAGGCTCTTGAGCATAGATGGATTGCTGTTGGGGTTGACTACAAATCTGTGGTGGCATACCTTCAGAGACACTGCATCATACTTTTTCCCAACCTCAATAACTGGCTGATCATTGCACATTTACCAGCCGCCCTCGAGTCCCATGTGAGCATCACTCTCTCACTCCTAGGCTCCCTCACCTCAATGCCGAGAAGTTACACCACACACCGATGATGTCAATAAAGTTTATTGGGATAATGTTTGATTCTATTGCTCAGAAAGCCTTCTTTCCCAAGGAAAGGTTCTTAGAACTCCAAAAAGAAATAACGCTCTGCCAAGGCCATTGCCAAGTCCAAGCCATGTCTATCCAAGTTCTCCTTGGACACATGGAATCAACAGTAGCCATCATGCCATTCACCAGACCCCTGGACTCAAGAACTCACTCGAACACTGCATTTGGCAGATCAGTTCTTTCCTCCTCTTTAACCTGATTCACTGTCCCCCCTCCCCACTGATGTCCAGTGCACAACTTAACTCTTCCCAACTAATGATGACACAGTTGGCACTTTTAACTTCATTTATTGTTGACAAAAGTTGATGACCACAAGGGTGTGAAGCATCATGTAGCTGGTCAAAAAAAAAGAGGATGGGACTCAGTTTTTTTCCTTGTAAAAGAAAGAAGAAGAGGGGAAATTAGAAAAGTATAAAAGTTGTTTGTACTTTCCCTACCTCATTGGCTCCATCATGCACTCTCTCCTACGGGAGACAAGCCTTTCTTGATACATCCATTCTTGCTCCTGCAATAAGCACCGCTGTTGATCTGTTTATTGTCCACTTTCTGTGCAATAAAGTTGATAGTTTTTTGCATCATTGTGATGTTTCCCAGACTTGAACTTGGTAGTCTCCATATGTGTGCATTCACAGAGACCCCAAAGAAAAAGGACAGGTTGCTTACCTGTAACCATGTTTCTTCGGGTAGTCACCTGTGACTTCACAGAAACTCGCTTGTTCCTCCCCTCTTATGCAAACCTCCCCCTTTCTAGCTGCCTTTGCTGCAATGGAATTGGGGAGCGTGAAACCAGGGTACCTTTTATGGCCTGGGAGAAGTGGACAGGGTTACCGCCAAAATTTGAAAGATCACAGCTTGGAAAACTTTCTGTTGGAGCCCGCGGAGGTTCAGTAACTCTATGTGTGTGGATTCACAGAAGACCACACAAAGAAACATGGTTACAGGTAAGCAACTTGTCCTTATCCCCAATCTATATGGTGAAAAATCAAAAGTGAGGGAAGTTGTCATTCAGTAATATCTTGGGGACCCAAATTAGGTAAAAAATAAAGCACATTGATCACTATGTAAATAAATTATAGTTGGCCCTCTACATCCACATATTCTCTGTCTTTGGATTCAATGGCCCTTTGAAGGCAACTGTAAGGTTGATGTGACCCTCGGTGAAAATGAGTTTTACACTCCTGCTCTAAGTTTATTAAACTGTAGAGTTTGCCTGAAATATAGGCCATGATTTAGAAAATAATAATTATTTTCTCTCTCCCTCTCCCTCCCCCCCCCCTCTGGTAGCGGCTTTGATTAGAGGGAATCGTAAAAATTGTGCCCAGTTTTCTGGATCTCTTGATTGGCTCATCAGTAGATTGGAAAGACTGGAAGCATCTTCTGGTATTTATTTACTTACTATTTTTGCATTTTATATAAAAAGCAACATAAAAAGAAATGATGTATTGTAGAATTTCATTTTTAGGAGATCTCTATGTTTCTTGAGTGTTATTGTCATTTTGGTAATAACATAAGTTACATGGAAATAATTTTAAAAGTTATTTTTTCTATGTCCAGTATATAATGTTTTGCATAGCATCAGATTTATGTGGAACAGATTCATCCAATTAAAATACAATTAAAGACTTTTGTTGTCGGAACATATGCTTTTGGTCACCTATGCTTAATGTGTTTAGTTCTTTAGATCAGTTCTTGGAAAGAAAACAGGTTTCATTTGGAAGTGTCATCTGCACTTTGGTGATACAGCTAGTCTTTTACTGACATCTAAAATAATGGCTTTCTGGAAAATAATTGCTTTCTGGAAAATAATCAAAAAAGTAAAGGCCAACCCCCCCCCCCCCCAAATTTTGACAGTTCTAACTAGAAAGGTAAAGAGTTCAGAATTTTTATAATCCCCTGATTTAGCTCTATGTTGATTCCAGTGTTGTTTTTGGCGTATCATAAATGTTTTTTCTGTATGAAAGATCTTGGGAAAAGGAGATGCAGGGAGACAATCTGGAGAGGAAGAAAGGGGTCTGGGTTCCTTACTTGCTACGCCGTTTGGTTAAACTTGTCTCCTCATACCTTACATTACTGTTTCTATATGTTGGTTTGTGCATTGATTGGAAAAGATTTGTGTGTAAGCTTTGTTTATTTATTAAAATCAATAAGCTGTTGTGATTATTCATGCTAGTATATTTTTATTGAATTCATCTCCAGTCACACGTATTAATTCGCATAAGGAACCATTGAACTTTAGCATAGTATATTTTTGCAGATTTATCACAGATAATCACTTTGCACAGGCCTATTTCTGAGAAGATCTTATTAAATACAAAAGAATAAAAAATACAGACAGGGTTCATGCCAATGACTAATCCCAAACAGGGTATTCCTCTTGAACAAGTTGCTAAATGGCAAACAATTACGCCAATTCCTTTGGTTTATTACATCTATTTTAGTTGGGATGCTGTTGATATTTGCCATCAGGTCACCCCTATGAACAAGAGACTTCCCAAGGATTCTGTTATTAAAAGCCTTGCAAAATTCTTTATTTATAGTGTTTATTTATTGTATCTCAGTCTATCAGAGTCCCATAGACAATGCACATTAGAAGTGCTTGCAAAATATTAAATAAATAACTAAAAACTAATCAAACCCCTTCTCTTTAAATAAATAATTAAATTTAAAATCTAAAAGAGGCAAGAGTCTACCACCTCATGAGATTAGGGGATGTATAACAGGGCTTTTGTTGATGATCTTAAATTTCAGTCAGTCTCATATGAAAGAAATCAGTCTTTTGCATGTTCTGACCCTACTAAGGAGACCTATTCAGAGCTGCAGGTTCTTTTGTTGAATCAATCTACTTATACTGAACTCTTCCCCTTTTATTATCATCTTCAGCTTTTCCCAGTGAGTTTAGGCCAATGAGGCTGAGAATCCAGGTTATATTCTGAACCTAGAGTAATTTGGTGCATCAGATTGAATTAATATTTGAAACAAGAATGTAGTGAAATTACACCAAAACATTGTATTGATTGGCTTGGTCTTATATCAGTATTGGAACAATCAGTGATTGATATTACTTGTTGAAATTTTAAATGCATGTGTCATTTGCTACTTTAAAAGACATCTAAGGATACATAACTGAATAACAAAACTTTGACTGGTTCTATACTGACCATAGAATATCATATTGGGATCAGTATGAGTGCATGAGTTAAGAAAACATCAAAATGCCTCCTGCTCACTGGATAGTTATATTTTAACTGATTTACAGGTTTTTTTTCTCTTACACAGCAATTTATACACATGAGAGAAAAATTGAAGAAAACCTTTCCATCTTAAAGACTCTCAGCTCTTTATATCATTCTGGGTGGCAATGGGCTGTATTTTATAATGATTCTGTCATGGGTTTTCATGCCAAGAACAGTGAAGTATTCTGTAATTCAGTTTTTTTAAAAGTCACCAGAGACTGCTGTTCTGTAAATGATTACTTAATTAAAAATACAATTGGCCTTTGGGCTTTAAGATAGGAATCAAATTAATAGTTTAGATTTTTCTTATAATTCTCTTCTCTCAAATTAAAAAGATGAGCTATTGAAGACATTTTGAAAAGTACCCTGATGATTTGTTTGCCCTTGGGGGCAATGGGTATAATTTAGGGGAATATGTAGATAGTAAATGCCTTTTGATTGTAATTCATGTGATCAAAATATTTAATATTTAACTAGTTAAATTATTATTTCTAACTACAATTAGTTTCAGATAATAAGCTCATTGATGAGATAAAGAAAACTTGAATGTGGTTTCGCTATTTTTCCTGATTAGCTTTTTATAGTATGCATAGGGTTCTTCTTGTAGCACCCTTGAGACTGAGAGAAAGACTTTAGTTTATGCCTTCCTAGACTAAATCTGCTTTATTAGATGCAAACATATTAGACGTATGTCTGCTTCATCAGATCTAAATCTACTGAAGCTTATACTGCCAACTTCTGTCATTTAGTCTTAAGTTCCCTTTGCATACTAACATATCCAGACTAACATATCTGTATCTTTGAGACTTTACCATCCTTTTGCCAATAAGAGGTACTAGTGGAGAAAACCTTTTGGTTGAAGTTGATTCCCTCTGCTATTGCCTCTAGTGAATAGAAAAGCTTGAAATAATGCATTAAAAAGCTCTTTCTTTTACATACAAAAAGATTATGGGAGGATTTGACCAGAATGAATCATTGAGTTTGGTTAATCTAATAGCTCATGTTGTATGAGTCAATATATAGAAGACAGTTTAGCGTTCTGTTGCATTCTGTGTCATTTTATGTTGAAACTAGCATTTTAACTCATGTTCAACATTAACTGTAACCACAACAGCAGTAATTAATGATGTCCCATAGTTTTGCTGATGCTGAATTCAGAGATCACTTGGAACAACCATGCCTGGACCTAGGGGATTTTTTCTTAATGCAGCATTGCAGAAATCTGATAATATTTAATGAAGCAGCAGTAACTGCTGCTTCATTTGGTTTATAATGTTGGTTAATTGAAGGTCAGAGGTGATGAAGTGCATCTTACTTTTTAATCATTTCAATTCTATGCAGTTATTCAACTTAGAATAATAGAATCATAGAGGTGGAAGAGACCACATGGGGTAATTTTATTTATATGTAAAATCATGTATTTGGCAACCTCCAACATTGAGTTCATTTTAAAACAATCCAGCTCAGACCATGGATACCCACCATATTAAGTGGGAAAATATTATCTTGCCTTCTATAGAATCAAAAATTTGCTAGAGTTTATTTTACTTTAATCTTAACTTTTCACTTAAGACTTTATTCCTGTGTGGAAGTGTAGACTCATTATATCTGTTCAAATATGGTGAAAGCCATTTGAAATTAAATCAAGGGGAACATTTAGCTTTTAGGAGTCAGCTGATGAGATTTAAGTTCTATTAAGCATTTTTATATTAAATTCAAATTTCCATACATATCAAGAGCAGTGATACATCTCCTTATCTGTGCAGTACTGAGAGCCAATATGGTGTTGTGGTATGAACAACAATAACATTTTATATGTCTGGATGCTTTTTTGGTGCTATTTTCTTCTTTCCTCTTCACAAGATGGTAATGGTCATCAAACAGGAAGGACTATTGTAATAGTACTTAGATCTCCTTATTACCTTGTGTGATTCTGAAATGATATTATGGGCGAAAAAGAATCTGTTTTTTTTTATAATTTCAGGAATTCTTGAAGTTTTGCATTGTGTGTTGGTGGAAAGTCCTGAAGCATTAAATATTATCAAAGAAGGGCACATTAAATCAATTATATGCCTGTTGGACAAACATGGAAGAAACCATAAGGTATGGGTGAACCATAATAGACAATCTAGAGGCTCAGTGTGATAAGTAGAAAGTTCTATGAGTTATCTTTAAGACAGCAAGGAAGAGGGGTTGGTTTAAGATAGTAAGGTGGTGCATTTTTTGTAGAGGAACCAAATTCTGTATTATCCATTATCATTTCTTTCCCAGGTGTTAGATGTTTTATGCTCTCTGTGTGTATGTCATGGAGTAGCTGTGAGATCTAATCAACATTTGATCTGTGACAATCTTCTGCCAGGAAGGGATCTACTTCTCCAGACACGCCTTGTCAACCATGTGAGCAGGTAAAACTTGAATGCATGCACACATTTCTATATATATTATACACAGACGTACTTTAATAAACCCTCAAACAAGTAAAAAGGATTTTCGATAGACATCAAACTATAATGGTTGCAATTATAAAGGAAATGTAGTGTATTCACCAGCTTGTGACAGAAAGGCAACTACAATGCCATAAAATGTGCAACTGAATAAAATGAAAGTTTAAACATTTTAACTTTTACTTCCACACCCTTTGTATTAATGTACCTTGTTCATTGCTGTTGTCTTGCGTTGTGTCTTCTTTTCTATAAGGTTAATTGTGGGATAAAAATCAGAGAAGATACATAAATAATGTAAAAATAAAAGGCTTACAGAGACCAAGCACCAAAGAGTTAAATAAAAATAATTCCAGCAAATAATTAAACTTTGTACAAATTTGATTGTCTAATGCATATAACTTTGTTTTTGCTTGCATTCAGTATGAGACCCAATATTTTCCTTGGAATCAGTGAAGGGTCTGCTCAGTACAGGAAATGGTATTATGAACTAATGGTTGACCACGTGGAGCCATTTCCAACAGCAGAAGCCACTCACCTTCGTGTGGGCTGGGCGTCAACAGAAGGCTATTCACCATATCCTGTGGGAGGAGAAGAGTGGGGAGGTAATGGTGTTGGTGATGATCTATATTCCTATGGTTTCGATGGACTTCATCTATGGTCAGGTAAGACAAATTAACAATCTTTTAAATACCTTCTTGAACTTGGAACAAAAAGTGCATATATGGAAATAATATTTTCGCAATAGGAAAATGTAAAGGGAAGGCCCTAATTCAGTTGTGAAGCTCATATCTTTCTGAGTTTTTGACATTTAGTGTTGCTAATCAATGGACCAACACATCCAGGGCTCTGTTAATATATTCAATGATTTTGTCTTGAGTTCTCCGAAGCTAATTTTTCTTGCATAAACCTCAGCATTCATTTTTGGTATATCTGTGTTTACTTTGTAGGTTGTGTAGCAAGAGCTGTGAATTCTCCCAACCAGCATTTACTAAGGACTGATGATGTGATCAGCTGCTGCCTTGACCTGAGTACTCCAAGCATTTCATTCCGGATAAATGGGCAGCCAGTCCAAGGGATGTTTGAGAATTTCAACATAGATGGTCTTTTCTTCCCAGTTGTCAGTTTTTCTGCAGGAATAAAGTTAGTGCATGCATCCTAACATTTTAAGAAAATTTGTAAATTTGTTTATTTTTATTTTGGCATTTCTGTTTTATTTGTTGACCCTTCTTCTACTTGTCAATTACCTTGAACTGTCTGAGCTGCAACTGGCTACCTCCCTCTGGGTGATTTCTGCGTCACTTCATTGCCACCCAAACCGGGTGGAGTGACCGCCATTGGAACCTATTGCCACAGGGGCTTTTCTCTGTGTTTGCCACCGTGCCGCATTGCCGACTGCTGACTCCTGCTTGGTCGTCCCAACTGCGCTTTGCCACCTTTCTGCTGGCACTGCCGCTTTTCCTTTTGGCGTGTTTGTCTGTGCGCCTTGACGCATCCATCTGCGCCCAGCTGGTCGGGGCTGGAGATCTGGGCGGATCGGGCCCTACTGCAGAAGGTTGCTGCTGTTGCTGAGAAGGTCTTTTGCTCCCAGTTGTTGGCACCCTGTCGTTGGCACTCCATTTACACCACGCAGCTCCTGTCCTAGTCCTCATCTAGTGATCCGGCCTGGTATTGGTCGCCATTGTTTGGAGGACCTCGTCCATCTGGCAGAAAGTTCAGGAGCCGACACTTCCTCCATCTAGTCCAGGATTGGTTGGTCATTGAAGCTCGCTGGGCTGCGGTAGTGTGGTTGAAGATCTTGTGGCCACATTTTAATTTCATCGTGGTTTGGCTTCTTGGTCTGGCTTGGCCTTATTGGGCTGCACTGATCTCGCCTGTCCATCGGCGCTTCGCCATCTGTATTGCATCAGCTTCCGGAATGCCCAGCGTTTCCAGCTAACTAAAAGAGCCTTGTCCACCATCTTGACTAGTCCTCACTATCAATGTCTCTACCTCATCTTTTTGGATTTTCCATCATCCATTATTGGCCACTGAACTGAACTCCGACTTCCAGAAGGTTTACATCTCTGGTTGTTTGGGGTTCATTTCCTTGGGGGTGGGGAGGGACTTTATCATCCTTTTTCAAATAATATTCTGTCCAAAAGACTCAAGACTGAGAACACTGGACAAGAATAGTTACTCTGCACTTTACATAGGATACTGTATTGATAAGCTTTCTCAACACTGGCACTTTAACCTGCTAATTTAACTCCCACCACCACACCTTATGAACAATTCAGCTGCACTTTAAATACTCATAGCTCCCACCAGCACTTTATTATTGCTCCTGCACTTTATAAATCTAGTACGGACAATTTACCTGTTGGCACTTTATAGACTTTTAGTCAAATTGGCACTCTCAGACTCTCAGTCAAAATTGTATAACAACTATCTCCCATGTTGTCCTTTCACCTTCTTTATATAGCAGTCATATTTGTATTTGCTAAGGGGAGTGAGGGTGGGAGTGGACTGGAGGGGTCCGGAATTGGCAGGGCTATTGTGGGAAGCAAATGGTGGGGGAAGGTCAATACAAGACAGAATACCATCAACTCAATCAACTGTCATTGAACCATGGGTTGAAGATATAAGCTGGAGTGTCACAGGGATGGGGGGTGTTCCAATGGTTGCCCCCCCATAGAAATAATAAAGGGGAGGGGGAGATACGGGAAAGGGAGACCTTTAATTCAGCCTAGGGAACATGAAACAATATTAGTAGTTCCAAATCGGTCTCCTGACAGAATAAATTGGAGTACCCAGGATGGCGGTCCCTCTGGATTAAGGGTGGTGCTGTTGAATGCCATATCTGTCAATGGAAAAACAGCTTTCATCCAAGATCTAATTATGGATGAACGGGCAGATCTGGTGTGCGTAACGGAGACCTGGTTGGGTGAGGCTGGAGGTGTAAATCTGACCCAGCTTTGCCCACCAGGTTTCTCTGTGCAGCACCAGCCGAGATTTGGAGGGCAGAGAGGAAGGGTTGCAGTGGTCCATAGGGATTCCATCCCACAGTCAACCAATTTTGAATGTGTCCACCTAAGGGTAGGTGACCGGTACAGAATAGGGAATTCTGTTAGTGTACTGTCCACCCCGCTGCACTACAGTCTCCGTACCTGAGCTAGCCGGGGTGGTATCGAGCCTGGTGTTGGAATCCCAGTGGCTAATTGTGCTGGGGGAGTTCAACGTCCATGCCGAGGCCACCCTATCAGGAGCGGCTCAGGACTTTATGTCTTCCATGGCATCCATGGGACTGTCCCAACTAATAACTGTCCCAACTCACAGTGCTGGACACACATTGGATTTGGTTTTCTGCCTGGGATGGGGGGATGGTGGTGGTATAGAGGAGCTAACCACTGCTCCGTTGCCATGGACCAACCACTACCTGATCAGGTTTAGGCTCACTGCACCCACTAACCTCTGCAGGGGTGGAGGACCCCTTAAGATGGTCCGCCCCAGGAGGCTTATGGATCCGGATGGTTTCCTGACAGCTCTTGCGGAGTTCCCTGCCACCTTGGTAGGTGATTCTGTCGATGCTCTGGTCACTCTCTGGAATGGGGAGATGGCTAGGACAATAGACACAATTGCTCCAGAACAGTCCCTCTCAAGTAGCCGAGCTAAACCATCTCCTTGGTTTAACAAGGAGTTGGCAGTGATGAAGCGAAGGAAGAGGAGCCTAGAAGCCATGTGGCGTTCGGATCCGAGCGAGCCATATTGAACATGGCTTGTGGCCTTTTTAAGGGCATATGTCATGGCAATAAAGGCCGCAAAGAAATCTTTCTTTGCAGCCAATATTGCGTCTGCAAAGAACCATTTGGCGGAGCTGTTTCAAGTTGTCAGAGGTCTGTTAAATCCCACCGTTCTGGATGGAAACCCTGACAACTTGACAGCCCGCTGTGAAGCACTTGCTCAATTCTTTGCAGACAGTCGCTTTGATCCGTCCTAACCTGGACACCATGTTAACGGCAGTCTCTGAGGATGTAACACGAGCACCTGCTTGTTCGATTTTAATGGATCAATTTCAATTGGTGAAACCCGAGGATGTGGACAAGATACTTGGAGGAATGAGGCCAACCACATGCATTCTAGACCCCTGCCCATCCTGGCTTCTAAAGGAGGCGAGAGGGGGATTGCCGAGTGGGTGAAGGTGGTGGTCAGTGCCTCCCTTCAGGAAGGCAACATTCTAGCAAGCTTAAAACAAGCTATTACAAAACTGCTGTTGAAGAAACCATCACTAGACCCCACTCAATTCATCAACTATCGGCCTATTTTCAATCTCCCCTTTTTGAGCAAAGTCCTGGAACATGTGGTGGCCTCACAACTCCAGGTATTCTTGGAAGACACGGATTATCTGGATCCAGCACAGTCTGGCTTTAGACCAGGACATGGAACCGAGACAGCCTTGGTCGCCTTAGTTGATGATCTGTGCTGGGAGCTAGACAGGGGGAGTGTGTCCCTGTTGGTTCTGCTGGACCTCTCAGCGGCCTTCGATACCATTGACCATGGTATCCTTCTGGGATGCCTCGCTGGAATGGGCCTGGGAGGCACTGTTCTACAGTGGCTCCGGTCCTTTCTGGAGGGTCGTACCCAGATGGTGTTATTGGGGGACACCATTGTCTTGTGGGGTTCTTCAGGGTTTCATACTGTTCCCCATGTTGTTTAACATATACATGAAGCCACTGGGGGAGATCATCCAGAGTTTCGGGGTGTGGTGCCATCTGCACACGGGTGACGTCCAACTCTGTCACTCCTTTTCACCTGCTCCTAAGGAGGCTGTTCAGGTCCTGAACCGGTGCTTGGCAACTGTGATGATCTGGATGAGGGCGAACAAATTGAAATTGAATCCAGACAAGACAGAGGGGTACTCCTGGTCAGTCGCAAGGCCAAACAGGGCATAGGGATACAGCCTGTGTTGGATGGGGTTACACTCCCCCTGAAGATGCAGGTTTGCAGCTTGGGTGTGATCCTGGACTTATCGCTGAGCCTGGAACCTCAGGTTTCGGCGGTGACCAGGGGAGCATCTTCACAATTAAAGCTTGTGCGCCAGCTGCGCCCATACCTTGGGAAGTCTGACTTGGCCACGGTAGTACACGCTCTGCTTACATCCCGTACAGACTACTGCAACGCGCTCTATGTGGGGTTGTCTTTGAAGATGGTCCGGATGCTTCAACTAGTCCAACGAACGGCAGCCAGATTGCTAACAGGAGCGGCTCTCAGGGAGCATACAACCCCCTTGTTGCGTCAGCTCCACTGGCTGCCGGTTTGCTACCGGGCTCAATTCAAAGTGCTGGCTTTGGCCTATAAAGCTCTAAACGGTTCTGGCCCAACTTACCTGTCCGAACGCATCTCCCCTTATGAACAATCAAGGACCTTGAGATCATCCGGGGAGGCCCTGCTCTCGGTCCTGCCTTTGTCACAGGTATGTCTGGCGGGGACGAGAGACAGGGCCTTCTCAGTGGTGGTCTCTCGGCTATGGAATGCCCTCCCTAGAATCATAGAATCATAGAATCAAAGAGTTGGAAGAGACCTCATGGGCCATCCAGTCCAACCCCCTGCCAAGAAGCAGGAATATTGCATTCAAATCACCCCTGACAGATGGCCATCCAGCCTCTGCTTAAAAGCCTCCAAAGAAGGAGCCTCCACCACACTCCGGGGCAGAGAGTTCCACTGCTGAACAGCTCTCACAGTCAGGAAGTTCTTCATGTTCAGATGGAATCTCCTCATGTTCAGATGGAATCTCCCTAGAGAGATTAGATCTGCTCCCTCCCTCTTAACGTTTCGAAAGCAAGTTAAAACATGGCTATTTCAGCAAGTGTTCACAAATACAGAGTAACGGATATAAGTAATTGATATAGGAAATTTGACGATTTGACAATGGAACTGGACAATGCTTGATAATAAGGAGACACTAATGATGTTGTTTTTATTGCTTGTTGTGTTTTATGTTGTTTTAATGTTTTAATTTGTACTATGATATTATGTATACTGTTTGGTTGGAAACCGCCTTGAGTCGCTGATAGGCTGAGAAAGGCGGTATACAAATACAGTAAATAATAAATAAATAAATAAACAAATAAATAAATAAAATATCTCCTCACACATTCAACCCATGCAGAGCATAACATTTCCACATAACATTTGATGAATGAACTTGCAGAAATTGAACTCTTTAAATTGTTGTTGTCTTGTAGGGTACGCTTTTTGCTTGGAGGCCGCCATGGGGAATTTAAATTTCTTCCACCTCCAGGATATGCTCCTTGTTTTGAGGCCATTCTGCCAAAAGAGAAATTGAAAGTAGAACACAGCAGAGAATACAAAAAGGACCACAATGACATGAGGGACCTACTGGGTCCAAATATTTCTTTGTCACAAGCAGCTTTTACGCCAGTACCTGTTGATACCAGTCAGGTAAATGGATTCTACTTTCACTTTTAAACTTTTGAGTAATGGATATTATTATGTAAGATGAATATCATTTGACTCTAACTACATTATCACACCAGAGCTTTAAAGTGGGCAGCACCACATTTCTGTCATCTGCAGAATTCTGGGAAATGGAGTTTGGGATTCTGTAGCTGATAATTCAAATGCCCCACCTTAAACTACAGTTCTCAGAATTCTGCAGGTGGCAGAAATGCGGGGCTGCCTGCTTTAAAGCCCTGGTGTGATGACGTCATTATTTTGTGTCACACTGTATTACTAAAAGTTTAGATGGTTACTAACATGTTTCATAAAGCACTTTGCAAATACCATATTTGCTGTTTTAATTGTAGCTAGAAGTATTTCGTTGACGTTCCATATTTCAAGCATTTGCCAGATGTACTATGATATACCATAAATGGTTTCTCCAAAGTTAAATTTGAAGAGCAACTGGCAGGCAGAGATGCCGTATACTGGCCAACGTGTAAACTTTATTATTAAAGGAAGAATACTACCACGTGCTTGAAATCATTAGTCAAATAACTCCCATTACTTTATTTAATAATGCAATCTTTCTTTTCTTACATATAATGTACTTCATTTAAGTAAACAAAGACAGGCTGGACTTACACTGAAATATAATGCATCAAAGTTTAAACTAATGAAAGAAATATTGCAATAGTTTGCACAATTCATCCAGTACATGGGCTCCATCTACATCAGTGGTTCTCAACCTATAGGTCTCCAGATGTTTTGGCCTTCAACTTCCAGAAATCCTAACACCTGGTAAACTGACTGGGATTTTTGGGACTTGTGTGTCCCCAGGTGTTTTGGCCTACAGGTTGAAAACCACTGATCTAGATGCTTTGGATAGTGTGAATGAACATTTACACTATGCAATACAATTTTGTTCCTGGGTTATACATGGATTTTAAAATTTTATAGGTTCTCCATTTGCTCTGTTGAAGACCACAGGATATTTATTATAATTAATACGCTAGACAAGGAGTTTATTTTATTCTAGAGTATTTTGTTGATTTTTTTTTCTCAGTTGGTTTCTGGGTAATTTCATATGTCACTTTTCCATTTTTAGATTGTATTACCACCACATTTGGAAAGAATTAGAGAAAAACTGGCTGAAAACATTCATGAACTTTGGGTTATGAATAAAATTGAGCTTGGATGGCAATATGGTCCTGTATGTACCTTTTGAATTGTATATTTTCATTTTCCCTTGGTTTAAAATGGATACTTAATTTATTATATATATTTGATACAAAGCAAAGATATTTCTCATATAGTCTGCATATAGTATTAATATGTAATTGCAATTTTATTAAATCTGTTAGTATTGTTTTGGAATCCACATTCTGTTTGACAACAGTATTTGGTTGTTTTTTTGCAAATCATTTTTATTAGTGAATGACATGGACATAACATAAACATAAACAAATAGTGACATTAATATAAGAAATACACACACACACAGACACATACATGTACATACGTATACACATACATATATATATACACCCATACATACATATACATATATGTACATATATACATACACATATAAAAAAGAAAAAAAGGACACACATTAATCAAAGATAAAAAGTTATTGACATGACTGCGATAGCTGGTTTCTGTTACAGTGAAAGTAGGTGAACATGGTTTAAAAGAAAAGTAGGAAGAGAAGGATGAGGGTGGAAGAGGGAGGAGAAAATAAAAAGGGAAATCAGTATCAAATATCTATATTTACTGATTCATTTTTGCTGAAAAATTGGTTAGCTGGACATCAATGCACTGAGTATACCATGTTGCATAGATATTACGCTTTTCTTTCCCAAGGATATTCTATTCATTTTTGGTAGAGTTTCTTATATTGAACTATAATCCTAAGTAAAACTGAAGCTGCGAATTTCATTTCTTGCAGGTTAGGGATGACAACAAGCGACAGCATCCTTGTCTGGTTGAGTTTGCAAAGCTTCCAGAACAAGAACGAAATTATAACCTGCAAATGTCTCTAGAAACATTAAAGTAAGTTTATAACGCATTAAGATTAATGACAAGTTCAGAGTTCAGACATATTTGAATGATCCTATTTGTGGCCTGCAGAGCAATGTTTGGAACAGGGAGCTACTATACTTTAGCACTGTCTGGCCAGCCTTCTCTTTGTGAGCTTCATGAAACACAGACAATTAGAGGTGTGCCTGTCATCAGGAGGTCGGACTTTGCCTTGGTGGTAACGTCAGCTCTTTCTATTAGGGCTGAATGAATATAAAGCCCTGCCAACATCCTTCTAATCCCTGCCCTGTTCCTCTCTCCTCTTTTTTGTTTTGTCTTGAGAGTATAGTCTACCCACATGTTACATGACCTCATAATATGACCTACATTACCTCATAATATACATGGCCCTCTCCATGAACAGAGCCCTGCTTCTCTCTCAGTTTGTCTTCTTTTTCCGTCCAAAAAAATGCTGTCTGGCTTACATTGCTTGACAGAGGAAGGAGGTGAACTCCTAGTTCAGATTTTGATTATTAAAGTTTCAGAAGCATGGATAATACCATGTGTATAACCAAATCTCTTTTCAGTCTATTATTGATTTTTCTAAGACATATACACCACAAATAGTTACACCTTTGTCTTGTAAAATATCACTTTATGTTTGTAAAAGTTATTAATCTGTTCCTCTAGAACCTTGCTGGCATTAGGATGTCATGTTGGAATTGCTGATGAGCATGCTGAAGAAAAAGTGAAGAAACTAAAGCTTCCAAAGAAGTAAGTGTGAATAGACAGATGCACAGATGGCAGTAATTACTCTGTGGTGGAAGTCTATATTTTCCTGACTCTTCCCTCATGTCACAGTACCTTCTCCTTATGGTTAACATAAGACTTAACCAATGTCCTACATTCAGACTGATGTGAGTAGGGGACTGTCATGAATCTAACCTTTTGCCAGGAGGGCCGAAGCCTGGAAAGACAGTAGCTGACATGTTGAGAGATAGGCAGGAGAGCTAAGAGGCAAGAGGGAGGAGTCAGCCGACTCCTGATTGGCTAGAGCAGTCAGGGGAGGAGCTAGCTTTTAGAGGGAAAAAAGGCTGTGTCTTTTTGACAAGTAGGTGAGTTGAGCTTTAAACATCGAAGAGTGTAGTAGTACTTTAGGGGGAGGGAGCTGAGAGGAATTTAGACAGAAAACTTTTGAAGTGAGCCTTGGGATTAGAGCATAGGATAGGCAGAGGTTCCTGAAATACTGTACAGAGTAGGGTCAGTGAAGGAAAGCCTGGTTTGCTCTGTGAGGCAGTCAGTGGGGCTGTTCTCAGGGACACACTGTGTCAGAGTTAGGGAACAGTGTGAAACAAGGAACTCACAGGGAACAAAAGTTAAAGTCTTAAGAGAAGACTGCCTGTCTAACCAGCTAAGCCTCAAGTAACAACAATACGCTTTTGTCACACTAATTAGATCTCAGCTAGCCTAAAGACAACTTAGTTCCAGTCCAGTCAGAGAAAGAAGCAGTCATTAAAGAAGAACTTAGGACTTAAATACACTTTACCTATTTCACATTCACACTTACGTTTTCCTCAGACATTATTTGAGGTGGTGGCGACGCAACTACCAATTACATCAGTAATTAACATCGTTAATACAGTTGGTCACTTGATAGTAATACTGAGGTGGGATAAGAGAGTCTTTCCCCCTTTGTCACAGTCATTTATCCTTGGTAAAGTAGTGTCCAGCTGAACGTTAACCGCTTTACACTGTTGGGCAGCGGTGGGATCGTCTGTCCCCTCTCCCAAGATTGTCCTTGATCTTATTACAGGGACTTATTGGTTCCTAAAGGGAATAGAAAGCATTTCTAATTAAAAACTCTTGCATGCATTGTAATTGTTCAGGTGTGTATGCCAGCAGGGTACCGAGTATCACAATTTTTTATATTTTGATTTTGTATCGTTGATTTTGTAAAGTAAATTATGAGGGTATATTTAATTTCCTTTAAATTTTAGTGGATAATGGAGTATCTTGTATTTCTTGAACTTCCTTATTTGAGAGGACAATCCATTATTAATTTTATTTACCAACAAAGACTGAGGTGCTGTTTGACATTTATGGAAAATCAGGTACCACTGGTATATTTAGGCATGGGATCTGTGGGACAGGGGGTGATGGCATAAAAGAGGGGTTCTTTTGGCAGATCTTTCAGGATTTTATTTACTTTCCTCCATAAATGTCTTGTTCGTCCTTTGCTCCTTAAAGATAGTGTAAACAACTGCAACTGAAATTTATGTATACTGTGTTCTTGTTTTATTGTTATTTATTTTAAACATGTGTAGAGAAACACCTATAAAAATACTCACAGACTTTTTTTGTTTGACAGCTATTTATTGTCTAGTGGCTATAAGCCTGCTCCTATGGATCTGAGCTGTATCAAGCTGACCCCATCTCAGGAATCCATGGTGGATAAACTGGCAGAGAATGCTCACAATGTGTGGGCAAGGGATCGTATCAGACAGGGTTGGACATATGGAATCCAACAGGTAGGTAGGACATGGATGATTACAGATTAACTCACATTGTTAATCATATGGAATAAATACGAGTCTGGAAAGTCAAATGATCATTTTGAGTATATCCTTAATTCATATATGCCCAATTCTAAATCTGATATAAGTTGTGAGAATCCCAGAGTATATTGTCTTTCTTTCTATTTAATTTAGAATAATCCTACTGTAGTCTGTGAAACTAGTTTTAAATAATTAATGTGAAAATTATGATCTGATTTGAGCAGGTGCAGTAAGCTCCAGATGTTTTGGATGTTAGCTCCCAGAATCCCTGATCATTGGCCAAAGCAGCTGAGGCTTCTGGGAATTGAGGTCCAAAATACCTGGAGAAATCAAGTTTGGGAATCACAGTCGTCTACAGGATGCTTGTGTCACTGTCCAATTATAGGAGGCAGCGATACTCCTCTCTCAGCATGCCTCTACCCTCCTACTGGCGACCACATGATTGTGCAGGATGAAGGGAATGGAGGACAGCTGTGTGAGGATTGCCTCTGCTCATCTGTCATTAACAGTGGTGACAGCCAGCCTTGTATAGCTGTAAGGAGGATGAGATGTTGGAAGTGCTCCTCATGCAAAGTACAACGCAAACAAGATTGCTGCTGGTAGGAAGAAACTTCCTCCACACTGTAAGGGCATCTTGTAATACTTCAACATTTAAAGGCACGTTGGGAGAACTTGACTAAAGTTTTCATTCTCCCTTGTGGGAACAAATTATTTTTAAAACATATCCCTAATAAAAACAGTTATGAGAAAGAATTGGACACATTACTTGAAGGTTTAAGTGTCAAGAAGCAGGAGGTTTTTTTTTTAAATTAACACTTGTTTTCAGTCAAAATACAGAGAGCAAAGATCAGAATTACAGTCAGAGTCTTTACATTTTCTCATTTTGTGTCACTTCTAATTAGGGAAGCCGTTTTAAAGATACGTTCCTGCTCACAGAACAGGCCACACATCTGCATTTACCAGGGGATTCTATCAAGCAGTAATTTTCCCAAGTTTTCACACAATAATTTTAAAAACTACCAATGAAGTGTGGTTCAAAGCATAAAAGAAGGTTTGGAAGCAGGTGTTGCCATCTTGTTGTTACCTCCTTAGCCCATCAATGCAAAGTCATTTTTTCCAACAAGGCTCAGAGTAAAGAAAATATCCTGCCAGGGTAATGGTTTCCCTGATATTAAGTGCAATGCTGCTGTCAAAGTCTTCATGTCATGGGATTTTGTGTGCCTGAGAGTGGGAGAGAATCTGAGTTATAGAGGACAGAATAAGGAATAGTGGGTTATTATGAGTTTAAATCACATTTTTTACACAATGCCCCTGAAGTGACTGGCTTGACCTTGAAGGAGCTGGGGGTGGCCATGGCTGACAGGGAGCTCTGGCGTGGGCTGGTCCATGAGGTCACAAAGAGTTGGAAGCGACTGAACGAATAAACAGCAACAACAACAACAATACCACAATGCCCCACTCCCAATGTGTGGGAAATGTGTTTACTGTAGGAAACCTTTCTGTCCAGTTTTTTTTAGTGTAAAGTAAACATCTTTGCTTCTCCCAGAACATAACAGTAGGGTGAATTTAATTTAGATAAAAGTGCACCAATTTTTCAAGAATTTTTTTTCCAGATATCGTTATTTTTTATTATAGCTCACAAATTTCTGTATCTCAAGCTATGCTTTGCTATGTTTTGTTACAGTACCATAATCATTTTTAAAATTCAAAACTCAAGACATTCATCAAAACTTCAGCTTTGCCTATATAATGTGTCATCACCAGCAGCAATAGTATCATCACCAGTAACAGCAGAAACATTAATCTGCATGCATATTTATGTTTTCATAATATATATTTTTATTGGGCTGAACAATTTGCTTGCGTCATATTTAAGTCAATGCTATGTATTTCTAGATTGCTTTGATCATCTACTTGTACTGTATTATACTTTATTATTGTGCTCCAGTTCAAGGAGCTCTGCAAAAGGAAACTGGTGTACATTTCAATGTAATTCCCATCTAAGTTATAATATTCTTCTGGGTCTCAATGAAATTGCTTCTTCCTCTTTTTGGTGCAGATCCAATGGTTGATGTGTGCTTCTTTATGCTTGTGGCTAGAATTGGATTGGTGTGGCACTCTACTCGTACTCATTTGAAAGACTGTCCGAATGAAGGGAGAGGTGATAGAATTAGCAAGTGTTTCTGTCACTAACAGGTGTTCTTCTTGCTGCTCTCTTTCCCTTTTTGTAGGGATGCTGGTTTAAATAACAATAAATGTTTCAGTATAGTATATGATAATTTTATTGTTTGTTAGATGGCAAATTGATTCAGTACCGAGCGTAGACCAGGGCTAGTCAATTGTGCTTTGGGAAGTGGGAGTTTGTGCCTTGCAGCACCCCAATAGGCCATGCAGTTATGTCTCAAAATAAAAATGATATGATGCCATTGCCACTTTCATTTTTGGCTTGTTCTTTGCTTGTGTGTGTGTGTGTGTGTGTAAAATAATGGCAGGATAAAGCAAGATACCATGTTTTGTAATTTAAGACTGAATTGCTATCCAGTCTTAAAAGTCCACTTTAGGAGTTTCCTGAAAGTTGGTGAGCTGTGAAAAAATGGGGGAACTTGTACTTTTCCTGCCCCTGCTATAGAGTTGAGATGGATAGACATAGGGATCACTCTCTTCTTCTACAGTTACAAGTATATATATGAATTTGTGGAACACAACTTCTCATCTCTACAGTTTAGTGATTGCTAAAGTGATGAAAGAAAACCACTCTCCACACATTTTGTTCACTATTACTTCCTACTCTTCTTGTCAAAGAAAGTTAAAGTGCCTGAAAATAGCTTTATAGTGCTACTTAAGTAAACAACAAGTAAAAAAGCATTGATCAAAATTTGTCTTTGCATGTCATTCAATGTTCTATTTTTATTTCATTTTATATTAAAATGCCACTATAATTAGATATATTTTGGATGAATACTGAGTCTCTGGTCTCTGAAAATAATTAATTTTGATATGATTTATGTGAAATGATATTCATATATTGTTTCAAAATGCGTTTGATAGTAAGCTTCTCGATTCCTGTAGAGTTTATTAACTTTTAAGCCAGTTTATTTATAAACTGAGTTTGAGATTTATTCATTTACCATATTTACTAGAGTCTAGTGCACCGTTGATTGTAATGTGCATTACAAAGACAAAGCCAGGGAGAAGGGGCAGCACCTAAACTCGTCAGTCTTAGCCTGATGGAGGAGCGACAGCTTCCCAACTGGCCTCATTCAGTTCACTAGTCTCAGCCTGATGGCGGGGCACAGGCAGGTTTAGGTGCACAATTCTAATGCACCATCTACTGCACTTTTGGTTAAGTAATTAAGCCAAAAAAGTTGTACCTTACATTTGAGTAAATATCCTTTGCTGTCCCCAGGTAGTTTGTAACAAGAATTAAAACAGAACAAGTTAAAAGATAGACACTACTTAAAATAAAACAAAACAATCTAGCAGATGAGTTAGTATGATAAAACTTTTGCACTGAACAAAACCAATTCAAATACAATACCCACAATTAAAACCTCTGCCCAAAGCCACCAGTAAATGGTTGATCTCAGAGCCAGGGCTGTTAATATTCAAAAGTAATTTGTTTGGTTCTTCATAATCAGTGCTCACTCGTGTCCGAGTACGATTGCCTTCCAAGTGTAGGGTCTTGGCAATGGGTCTGTAGGTGACTGTAGAGACCTATTTTTGACCTGCATGTTCTTCTGCAGTGAGGACATTGATTTTCAGGTGGAAAGTAGTCCCAGTTAGGGTTGGCTTGATGCACCTTCCTTTTTGACACATTTCTCCCTTCATTTGTGCATCTTTGAATTCCACAGTACTGATGGTTGCAGCTGACCTCCAGTTAGAACACTCAAGGGCCAGAGCTTCCCTGTTCTCCATATCTTTTTATAGGTTGGCTTTAAGCCCATCTTTAAATCTCTTTTCCTGTCCATTAGATTTCTGTTTTCCATTCTTGAGTTGGAAGTATAGTAATTGCTTTGGGAGACAATGATTGGGCATTTGGACAATGTGGCTAGTCCAGTGAAGTTGATGGCAAAGGATCATTGCTTCAGTGCTGGTGGTCTTTTCTTCTTCCAGAATGCTGACATTTGTCTGCCTGTCTTCTCAAGAGATTTGCAGGGGAAAAAAACTGTTCTTCATAACTTGCCTCAACAATCTTGCCACTACTTACTATAATGCTCTTTGTACTACTATATTTCATTTCATAATAGTTACCGTTGCACAATAGTCATACCCTCCTTTTGGGGAAGGCAAAATTGGTATTTTGCCTAGAAGTGCCAAATGGGAAAGAGAGAAAGCAGATTGGTAAGTGAATTCTTTTCTTGGTGCTGCAGGGCTTAACTTGGCTCTCTCTTCCAAGGTACAGAGGCTTACCTTGCTCTGTATATCGGTGGACAAACTTGTCTGCATGCCTTGCTGCTCTGTAGCTACGCTTTGAGGGACTATGTGCCTTCTAAGGGACTATGTGCACTCAAAGGGGGCTTTTTTTTTCACCATGTAGTCACCGCTGCATAATAGTCACACACACCCTTTTCCTCCAAAAGGAAGGAAAGTGCAACTATTATACAGTGAAATAAAATAGTTTTCAGGGGTCACATTTTTTTAAAAAATGTTCTATTATTGTTTTTCAAAACCCCATTCCAGAGAAATTGAGAAGAATAATAACCCTGTTTTGTATGTGCTACCTCCAAATACTGATGGAAGGTAATTATGTTAGAAATTTCAGCCTGTCTCTCTCTCTCTAACTCCTATTATTCTCCCTTCAAATAGCCCAAGAAAGACATTCTCACTCATTGGTGAATTATCTGAATAATTTAGAGATTAGATAATAAACATACCTATTTCCAAGTTGCATTTTATATACTATGCATCTTTTTAAACTGGAGATATATTAGTATGATGAAACAGTATCTATCTGTTATATATCCACTTTTTAA